ACACACACACACACACACTCATCACAGGTCAATAGCCGATCGTGTCGTCAGCATCGTGCAATAACCGTACACCCCAAACTACCTCACCTGGTCTTTGATACCTGTGTCTCTCCCCTCCCCTCCCCTCCATTCCTCCATCGTTGCTTCGTATCATTATCTCTCCAAATAATAACTCCTTACTATCTCTAATTATCTCCCAGTATCTCTTTCATCTCCTAAGTTAGGTGTTGGAGTATTTGCTGTGTCCTAAATACCGGGAAATTCTTGAGATATATAACAAGATAAACGTATTTTATATTTCTTGTATTCAATTGTATTATATTTGTCTATTTCTTTCAGTATTTCCTTCTTCCTGCTTGAAATTCCTATTTTATTGTGTAATTTCATATGATTCTTTACGATACTTTAATCACCGTTTATTTAATACTTCATTCATTCTTTAACAGGATCATTCTTCTTTCCTTTACTTTATCTTTCCTTTTATTTTTATTTTTTATTTTTACGATAATTCTTTCATTTCGTTAGACATTTCTGGATCAATTCCCATGGTCTTCTTATTTTTTTTTCTCTGACGCTGATTGGCTGTTGTGATATACGACCGACCAATTAGATTCATTGTCTTCCCGTCCGAGGCTCCTGGGTACCCCTGAACTAAAGTCGTAAACAACAAAGACGAATCCAATACCACTGAAATTATCACCACATAGACCCAGCTCTTCAGTACAATGCTGTTTCTTTTAATGATTTTGAGAGTAGTTATTATGACCGGGATAAAATTAGAGGAATGGAAAACGATTTTGTTAATGAAACTACAGGAAGGATTTTATAAGACAATGAGACTATAAACTGTAGAGAGAAAGAGAGAAAGAAAGATAGAGAGAAAGAGAGAGCGAGTGAGAACCTTTGTGTTAGCGTCGTCCCCACTCGTTGCCCGGTACAGTCCAGCGGTCCGGCTCACGTAACAAGAACCACTTCACCAGTTTTACCATCACCCTGTGTCATAATTTGCATCTGGCAGCCTCCCTCTTGGTAACCTCGGCCGTGTGAGTGAAATATTGAGACACCTGAGTGAAAGATTTGCCACTGATTTGAATATCGGGATGCTGGTCTCAAAGGCGGTGCTGCGTGAATTAATAAAAAAAAATAATAATAATATAGTCAGAAATATTTAAAGGATATGGGAGGAGGAGGTGGAGGAGGAGGAGGAGGAAGAGGAGACTGCTGGTTCAACATTCCTGACAATTATCAGTACATGTTAACCTTTTTCTATATATTGGTTGTTAGGTTAGGTTAGGTTAGGTTAGGTTAATCTTCAGGTGATCCGAACGATGTATGACGCAACACACACACACACACACACACACACAGACACACACACACCACACCTTCTCCCTTCTTTTATTTCTCCCTTTCCTTCCTATTTCCAACCCCTTCTCTTCCCTCCTTCTCTCCCTCCCTCCCAGTTCACCCAGTATGAGGTTATCAGCCAGGTATTAGAGCTAATTGGTCAGCTCCACCTCAGGTATACCCCCCAAATACCTGGTCCTTACCTATCTATCAATACCTGTCTCTCCTCCTTCCTTCTGACTCCTGTTATCCAATCCTCTTCCCATTCTTCCCCGTCCTCCTCTTTCCTATACTTCTCTTCCCCTTCATTTCTCTTCCACTTACGCTACTAATCCTCATCTTCTTTCCCCCCCTCTTCATTCCACCTCCCCCCCTTTCTATTCATTCCTCCCTCTTTGATTTACTCCCTCCCTCGTTCCTCCCCTCTTCTTCCTTCTTACCTCTTCTTCCGCCTCCTCACCACCTTCTATTCCCCTCTTTTCCTCCTCCTCCTCCTCCAACCACCCCATCCCCTCCCCCCTCCCCCACCACACACTTACCCCCACTTCACCTTACAGCTCATAGTACCACAACAAATCAGTAACAGAGACAGTGATCAATTTTTTCTTAACACATAAAGGAGGCGAAGCAGAGGTAAATATCTCTCACTTCATAGTCGTAAATGATAAGCCAGGTGGGCCAGGTAGGTCAGGTAAGTCAGGTAGGTCAGGTAAGATAACTCACCTGAGCTAATTGCTGGTGAGAAATAAAAGAGTTTTGTGGGGGTTTGATATAATATATAGAACTATGAAAAAAAATTGATTTATATACAAGATATTATATTCATTAATGTATGGGTGTAAAAAGATGAGAAGAAAATAATGAAATAAACTTATAATGATAATAATAATAATAATAATAATAATAATAATAATAATAATAATAATAATAATAATAATAATAATAAACAAAATGTAAAGAAAAAACCCCAAAACAACAAATCAAATGAAAAACTACGATTCCAATACACTCACAGAATGACGTCACTCCCAAACCTTTTACTCAAAACAACAACAAAAACATACATTAAAAAATGGCGTAAAGTGATAGCTCCACAATGGCTTCAGCACTCTTTAATACACCACTATCACAACTATCTCCCCTCCTCCCTCACCCAGGAGCTATGATAAACAGAACATGTGTCGCTTTCCCTAGTCAACGAACACAAGGTCATGAGGTGTATTTTTACCTGTGATTTTTTTCAGGTATAAATAAAGTTATCTTATTATTCTTTGTTCAGAATCCCTTTGTTGTAAACTTGCATCAGTAGGTATAGGTTGGGAACTTAAGGTGATTGAGTTAAATCCGACTTACGTTAAAATCATGTTATGTAATGGTTAAGTGAACGTAAAACACCTTCGTATAATTGAGGATTGTTTATATTGAACTACAGTACATCTATTTCTTGTTTTCATCTGTAGGAAAATAATAACTATAATCTAATCTTGAAATAACCCCCCCCCACGAAATAAGTCTAAACCACACACAAACACACAAACACACACACACACACACACACGTACTCAAAGTCTGTGGTCTGGCTGTGCGTCAAGAATTTGTGAACCTTTTATATTAATGTTACTTGTTCTTCGCCACCTGAAAGAACCTGTATCTATGTACGTTTTTTTTTATGGTGAAACTGTATTACTGTAATGTCTCTTTTATGGTGAAATTGTAGCACTGTACCGTCTCTTTTATGGTGAAATTGTAGCACTGTAGCGTCTCTTTTATGGTGAAATTGTAGCACTGTAGCGTCTCTTTTATGGTGAAACCTTACTAATGTTACAGTAACTACAGAAATTATGTAACTTTAAATAAAACTAAATCATCATATCAGTGTTCTAAAGACGCTGTAATTCTGTCTAATCAATTTCTTTAAAAAACTGTATCTTCTGTAAACATTTTCTTCATCTAACTGTACTTTTTGTTATCAACTTACTAACGAAAGAGCAATTCAATCATTATCTTTTGAAACAGTAGCCTCTATAGCTATTGGGGTATTTGTTTTGAGTTATCAAGCTTCTGTACTGATATGATAACATTTGATTCTGATATTCTGGTCTCCAGTTATGTCTAAGAACGTAATGCTTGGTAGTGATGTTAGGAGATGGGGGTAGGAACACATCAGAGAGTGGGGGTAGGAACACATCAGAGAGTGGGGGTAGGAACACATCAGAGAGTAGGGGTAGGAACACATCAGAGAGTGGGGGTAGGAACACATCAGAGAGTAGGGGTAGGAACACATCAGAGAGTGGGGGTAGGAACACATCAGAGAGTGGGGGTAGGAACACATCAGAGAGTAGGGGTAGAAACACAAAGAGCTGAGGTAGGAGAACAGAGAGCAAGAGTGGGAACACACAAGGTGAAGGTAGGAACACAAAGGGGTGGCGAGGAGGGATCACCAGGCGACTTTATTCCTTGCATCAGCACGTTCGCTTGTTGTGCGTCTTACAAGAATAACAGACTGCTAATAATAATAAAGGACCCTGTCACAGGTAAAATTACATCAGATTTTATTCCCCAAGTCGTAATATACACCAGATTTTATTCTCCCGGAGTCGTAATATACGCCAGATTTTTACCTCTAGAGTCGTAATGTTCACCAGATTTTATTCCCCCGGAGTCGTAATATACGCCAGATTTTTACCTCTAGAGTCGTAATGTTCACCAGATTTTATTCCCCCGGAGTCATTATATACACCCGATTTTTCCCCTAGACTCGTAATATATCCTAGATTTTTCCCAAGAGATTTAATCATTTGTTGTTGTTGTTATATCAGGTGATGAATCAAACGTACCAAAACACTCCTAACCTAACCTAACCTAACCTAACCTAACCTAACCTATGTTGACTTTTACACCCGTTTATATCAATATTATATTTTTCCGGGTTATAGATTACTTAAAAAACCTAACGAATCATTTTTTAAGGAAGGTTGATGATGGAGGAAACCCAACTGATACTTAACACATAAACACGTTCCCGTATTAACATCCTACTTCCTTGAGCACCTGCCACAACGCCACCAAACCACAGCGCCAATAAGACTCACCAATCCGTGAATTCTGAGATACACTGATAACTCCTCGTAACAATCGTAGGTGACACTATCTTGCCCCCAAAAGAAGCCGGTGTTGGTGTTACTTAAGGCGAGGGCATGATCGCTAGGGAGTCAGTGCCTTGCCGGAGGTTGATGTGCACTCACGCTGGCCATTGTTCTGATCAAACACTATTCTATTGTTTGGTGAAGTCTCTCTCTCTCCCACACATACGCACACACACACTCACACACATACATACATACATACATACATAGCCCTGCAAGGTGGTGCATTGTAGCCTTCCTGTCATGACCGTGGAGGGTGGGTGGTGGCCTAGTTCGTATGACTGTGGCCATATGGATAGTGTATGGTAATATGTCTTCATGTATGAATATTTGACGCATAACACAACATACAGATATTAAACACTGGGAAGGTTTTACACACACACACACACACACACACACACACACACACACACACACACACACACACACGAGAGAGAACAAGAGATAAACAGCGACAAGAGAGAGACGAAGACAGTGAGAATATCAAGAGAATATTTTCGTTACCTCAGTCGTTTTGCCTCATCGATAAAGGGTCTCTTCTCAGCATCACTCAGCAGCTTCCACTCAGCACCTGCAGGAGAGACAAGTGTTAGAGAGATAGAGAGAGGTAATAGTTCTCTAGGGTCTTCGAGGGTGACCTGGTTCTAATACTTGACCACGAGGGAATTTTTTCTTCTTTTGCCTCAAGTGTAAAAATCTTCCAGTGTAATTTACAACCAGACACTTATAGTCATATTATAGTAAAACAAATAGTCATCATTATTATTATCATCATCATCATCATCATCCATCTTGTCTTCCAGTTACATTATCCCTGTCTGTCTGTATGTCTGTCTGTCCACCACGACTTCTGCTTACAGTTATCTCTGTTAGTTCCACGTCTGTCTGTTAATTCCACACTTTCCCGTTTCACATACGTATATTTAAATTTTACACGCTACCGTTTCTATAATTTCCACGCCACATACCGTTTTCCACGCCCTTAAACACGACGCTAAATCCACGCTCACAATCCATCATCCCACACATGCTGCTTCCACTCCCTTAACTACAATGTCTTCAACGCCTTTCCCCTACACATTACTACCTCGCCTCCTTCTGCGTTCACCCGGGCAACACAACCACAACACAAAATTATCTTGTAATTTCGTAATCTCTTGAGTTGTCCACCAGGTCAATACGACTCATATACGTCAACAAACAGAGAGGTCCCTTGTGTCTTCCAACCAGATGCTTCTCTTTATGAGATTTTTTCCCGCGACACAAAGAGTTATAAAGGTTCTGCTCGTTGTAGCAAAACCCGCTATCAAGAGCATCTTCAGTTTATCCCTATTGTGTTATCACTCATGGATGAATTTAGTTTTTTTCGCTAATTCTAGTAAAAGAAATTTTATGCTAATTAAGCGTCTTTAGTTTGTCTTATTAATGGGGAAATTTGGCTGATTCTAGCAATGTCCCCTAAGGAAACAGTCTAATATTCCTACCTTATTGTTATTTAGTTGTTATTTAGTTATTATCTAGTTATTAGTTAATTATTTTATTATTATTATTTACCCTGTATGTATGTATGTATGTATGTATGTATGTAGGCTATGTATGTATGTATGTATGTATGTATGTATGTATGTATGTATGTATGTATGTATGTACCAATAAACCTGGTGATGAGTGGGCAATAGCTGACAGGGTGTAATTACTTCAGAATAACACCCATAACTGACAAACATTCATCACACTAATGACCCAATGAGGTTAATGGTTGTTTGTACATATTGTCAACTCCAACGGGGGATTTTGTATTGACTAAAAATAACAAATAAATAAATACGTGGTTTTTATTCGTGATACACCACAAATACACACACACACACACACACAGAATATTATACACCGTGTTGTCCACTTGTTGATGTAGTAGTGAAGAGTCATTCATCGCGATAAATATCATTACCTCGTTTGCATATTATATGTTTTAATGGATAATATTACTCTATTGCATCACACTGCACTGATTCATACGCACCCAAAATGCATTAACGTCAAATTTAAAAAACCAATCCGAACTATATTGTAGTTTTTGTGGATACTTGCCAGTGTGTATTTATTTATTATTTATTTTAAACCAACAAAAACCATCGCAAAATGTGTTTCAATATTAATGTTGTGTTAATATACAGGAACTCTTAGTTGTTGAAGAAGATCATAATACCTGGGATATAAGATTAATAATAAGACCTCTAGTGTTGTGAGTTGTAAAGGTAAACTACGATGGAAAGGTCTTTTGAAAGAGTAAATTAAGCTTTATGGAGTTTGTGTGGCCTTTTGTTACATGGTACTGATGCAAATGTTCTCTCTCTCTCTCTCTCTCACTCCTGCCTCTCTCTCTCTCTCTCTCTCTCTCTCTCTCTCTCTCTCTCTCTCTCTCGCTTTCTCCTGTCTCTCTCTCTCTCTCTCTCTCTCCGTGTTTGAAAATAACGAAACTACATTGAGACGAAGTTTATTTGTTTATACCAGCTCAGGTAAATCACTCACCTGTCGCAATAAAAGACATAATACTACGAATAATAATAATAATAATGATCATAATAATAATAATAATAATAATAATAATAATAATAATAATAATAATAATAATTTCTTGATTAGCTCACGTTTGGTTGGTACACAAGTTCAACAATATACAATAACCTCTTAGAAAATTAATGCTTGAAGTATACACAATAAAAATTTTTTAACAATTGGTGAACGAACGAGATGTATACGGCCATTTATTGGACGTCAAGATGATTACGTCACCTCAATCGATGACGTTAAGGGTCGTCCTCTAATTGGCTAGTCGATAAAATATCCGAGTGAATGAGTATTAACTATACTCTGAACCAACCTCCACCTAAGGCCCTAACTTATACAATAGAGCCGAGGCATTACTATAGGATCAAGCCGTAAGCCGAACAAGCCGTGTTAAAACTCTCTTATTTTAGACGATAAGAATAATTTAAAGATTAATTCTGCTCTATATCTTTTAAAAGCCGGATAATGATCATTGGTAGTTGAAGTATATATGAGTCTAAAACAACAACAACAACAATCACAACCACTACCGCAACCACAGTCATCACAACAACAATCACAACCACTACCACAGTCACAACAACAACAACAATAACAATAACCACTAAAATCGCAACCAGTCACAACCGCAACAACAACAACAATCACAACCACTACCGCAACCACAGTCACAACAACAACAATCACAACCACTACCACAACCACAGTCACAACAACAACAACAGTAACAATAACCACTAAAATCGCAACCAGTCACAACCACAACAACAACAACAATAATAAATCACAAATACAATTACATTCTTCCGGTTGTTGGTTGTAGAATTATAATGATAGTTTGAATAGTTTTTAATAACAACCCGGGTAGGTGAAGCGCTTGAGTTATATTACGACTGAACGAGACAGAATTGAACCCAACAACGACCCAACACGGCCCACACTAATTTAACAAATATATGACAGGAAAAAGTTCTCTCAACGATGGAATCGAGTCAGTCAGTCAGTCAGTCAGTCAGTCAAAAAACTATTCATATAGCTGACTGACGCAACTAAAAGGGGGGTTCAAAGTGCACGACAGCCTGAAGGAGTGAACAACCCTTATCGGCATTAAGGTTCAATAGTGTATAGGGAACGATGGTGCCTCCAGGTCGCCCGCTAGATGACACCACACACCTCCTGAGATGATAGGGTTGATAATGATGATAATAATAATAATGATACTACTACTACTACTACTACTACTACTGCTACTTTTTTTTAAGCTACTACTACTACTACTTTTTTTTTTTTTTTAACGTGGCCTCCAGCCTCCCCCAATAGCCACACCTTCGCCACCATATATTTATCTTAATATTAAATATCCTAATACATAATAAGCTACCCTATCTGTGTTAAATTAGTTGAGCCGCAGATCTATGCGGCATTCAGTGACTGTAGCCTCATAGTCAATATCTGCAGCAGTTGTCGGAGTAGGGGCAGAAGCTCTCGTTCCCCTGAGGCAGAGCAAAGCCGACCGAAGGAGAGAGAAGGACAGTCGACATCTCATCCAGGCTGTAACATAACTTCTGGGCTGCTGCTTCTGTTCGGAGATCAACTCCGCGAGTCTGGCGTAGAAACATCTTGCACTTGGGCCCATCCCACCAGAGGTTGTGAACACTAGAGGAGTGAAGCTGCCTTGATCAACGTTTTGAATTCTCTCCCCATACGCCCTTCTCTTGTCGTTCTCGTTCCTCCTATGTGCAGCATCGAGAGCTAGGTTACGGTGACAAGTGGCCATGGGATAAAAAATCCTACTACTACTACTACTACTACTACTACTACTACTACTACTACTACTACTGCTACTACTACTACTAATAATAATAATAATAGTAATAAGTCAATTGAACATTCTTGTCTTTAGTTGGGACATTGAGATAACAACGTAGACGCTCTATAATCGCTTACCCAAAGGCCGTTCCCTCATTGTCAGGCGGTGATGAGTGTCCTCCCCCCAAACGGTATTCAGAGAGCGTACAAGAGTGTTATCGACTTAGGTCAAACGTAATTACTTGAACGGAGGGATGGACGCCGCCCCCCACCCCTCCCCCTGGGTCGGTGCCACACTAGTAAAACACTTTTATGGTAGATGAAACTCTCAAGTCTTGCTACTTTCCCGTCCAAACTACTACTACTTCTACTAAAGTTGTTCATATACTTACCGATAATATTTGGGTAAGAGTTTTCGCCAAGTTACTTTCCCGTCAAAAGTACTTACGTAGATATGACAGGAGAAGAAGAAAACATTTAGGTGGGGGGAAAAAAAATACCTCTAAGGCCAATTCTTCCCGCCAAAATTATCACACTGAAAGGGAAATTTTAGCGGGAATATAAACTCATGTTCTACTTTGATGCCGCTAAAACGAAGCATCTGGTCTTAGCATACACCCATTGCCGCCGCCCGCTCTCCGTTCAAACCACCGCCCAGAAAGAAATATTTTACCTCTAACTCATAACCCGATAAAGCTCTTTCCTTTCCTCTAGTTGATAATCCACAAATCTTACCCGTAACTCACACTAGAAAACCACAATTCAACCAAATATATCACACTTAATCCTAATTCCTAAGTCAATCGTTGTTTATGTTGTTATTTTATTATTTTTTTTGAGGTATAACCATCTTGGCTTCACTTAGATCTGGTACAGTGACTGATGCGTTTTGTGAGATGTGGCAACTGTGTGGAATGTTTATCAAGCATCATTGGTCTAGGTTACTATTGTGAGGTTCCTTAGGGCCATTCAGGGAGTTTTAATACGATGTAAACAAACACAGAGTTGCCACATCTAACAAAACACATTAGTCACTTTCCCAATTACGCTTACACAGTCCCTTCCCTTGCCCACTCATCCACTCCCTCTTAACCAATCCCACTCATTTCTCCCCTCTCTCATTCCCTCTTTCCCTCTCCCTTCTCTCATGTCCATCCCTCTCTATCCTCTCCCACTATCTCCTGTACTCTC